GATAGATAGATAGATAGATAGATAGATAGATAGATAGATAGATAGATAGATAGCATATATATATATTTTTTTTAAAGGAAAAAGTAATACCAAATGTCACCAAATGATGTCAGAACTCACCGTATATTTCATTGTGGTTCATAGCTGCAAACTGTCATGCAAATGTCAACTGCTGGAAGCACAAACAGGCATGTGAGCATTAAACAGAACTACAAAGCAATGATGCTCTGAGCGTTTTAAACACTGAAGTCAAATGAGTGAAACTAAAAACAAAAATAAGGCCAAACTAGAAGCCTCACTATCTGGAGACATCATAAAAACTTTAATTTAATTCAAACAACGTTAATTTAATTTAACTTAATTTAAACAATGTTAATCTAGTTTGGAATGATGAAAGAAACCTCCTCACTGTTGTGAAAGTTAGCTAATTGGTCAGATGTTGATGAGGGACTATGTGAAGCTGCGAGTTACTGTTCATATCTAATCAGACTCTTGCTTTGAGTTTTGATTAGCTTCACTCAAAGTATGCATGCAAAAGAATATTCAAGATCAGTCCATGCATTGCCTTGGATGATTTGGTTGCAAAATATGAAATACTACATTAGAAGGTTGGTCATAATCTGGTTAATTTCCGAAAGTGTTGATAAACTTGTCAAGGTAAAAGAATTCCATCCTACACCTTCTGACAACAATCTTTTTCTTCTTCCTTGCAGATATTGCTTTGCCGGCTAATATAGTTTGTGGATTACACGGACTCTGAAAGCCCCAGAGAAGACAGCGATGAAGTACTTTGTAAAAATAATGACACATCACACAATTAGCAGGATTCAGTTAAAAATAAAAATAGCTCTATTGGCTTTTCATAAACAAATGTTACATTTTGAATAGTTGTCATGTGATGTGCAGCTACTATGGTTTTTATCTTTGTTCGTAAATAATAATAATAAAAAAAGCTTTAATGTCTATTTTAAATATACAAATATTATTTTTGTATGTGAGAAAAAAACACTATTATTATTTTGTACTGTACTTAAGGTAAAAGATGAATGTTCTTTTCTTGTCAGCTATTTTAAAATGTGGGATGGATAAGAAAGGTAAACTAAACTATAAAAATGTCATAAGGTTAGATTTTGTATTCATGAATACTGTTAATGGTACTATCTACTTTTTCCTCGTGGCCTTGTCAGTGATTCTGGACTGCCTTTAACCAAGGAGACACACACAAACACTTGTCTTTTTATCTTTACGGGACTTTGCATTGACTTCCATTCATTTTTCATTCATTTCTGTAGCCTAATCCTGACTCTTACCCCAAACCTAACCATTACCAACCAGTACACACCTAACCCACCAACAACACTTGTACTTCTAGGGACTGGGCTTTGGTCCTCACAATGTACTATGTATTGAAAAATGGGCCTCACAAAGTAACATAAACACACACACACACACACACACACACACAACTCAGCCGTCTGCCCACCACTGCCTTTTTGCATAGGAAAATTAGTCTGCACACTATTTATTAGAAAACAAAGTTTCTATCGCTGTAATAGAAACCATTCATGGATTTGCGTAGTTTAAGATGTTTAAAATAAATTTGAGCGTTCATATTTTCTCCTGTAATAAACAAAGTTCCGATAATCGAAGGTGGATGTGTCATTAAACTACATCCTTCTGATGGAAGCTGATCCAGTCTACGCTGCACCCGAATTGTCCCCAACATATCACATTGGAATAAACTGGAATATATTGAATTGCACTTTCTTACTTTGAAGTTTTTAAGTATGAGTTCTGCTGTGAATTGTATTTGTTAAAATAAACTGGATTGAATTTAGTCCCATTGTTACGGTGTGTTTTGTGCTGACAATGAAGCCTCGCGTACTTTTAAATAGCTAAAAAACAAGCACCACGTTAAAAATAAAGGAAAGTGTGGGCTAGAGAAAAGGTTATCTGTAGGTGGGTGTTTCCTCTCGTGCAAGTTGATATCTCTAAGCACACACACATCTACCAGCTGTCTCTGTCTCATGTTGTTGTTTGTCTCATTGCAGACAGTCATTCTGTCCTAGTGCAGCCTTGAATGTTGCTGTTCAAGCTGAAGAGGCGTTGCTGTCCGTGTAAAATGGATTTTTATGTTTGGGGGTGGGTTTTTGAGGAAATGGGGATGCATTGTGCCAGCTGTCCTGTCACCCATCTGCCAGGCCCCTCTTTCAGTGTCTCAGCCCACTTCCACTGTGCCACAGTGAACCTGCTGCACATTTTCTCTCACGCCGGCCACATGTCACTGGAAAGAATCTATTGCTCTATCAGCTCATTCATATGAAGCTGTAAAGAGGCCAGCCAGGGTGATAAAATCCTCCGAGTGAAGAGAGCAGATTTTATTTTGGGGGCCTCAAAGGAGAGTCAGTGTGTGGTGTCTTGAAGGTGTTAATTCAGACACTATGTTCTGTTTAAACACTAAAGTCATTTTCTATCGGCAATGTTACAATCACATCATTGTGGTATTCAGTTTATAAGGACTTGAAGATTTTGTGGTATTTCAACCATGAACAAGCTGCTTTAAGGGTCTTACTGTACACATTCTTATAGAACTGCCTTGTTTACAAGTAAACACTAAGACATAACCGCTGGCTGTCTCTAAAAGACAGTATGAAGTAGATGCTCTGAATGCCCATTTAGAAATGATCATTTTATCCGAGGTTTGTTTAGTTGCCTGTTCAAGTCTACCAGTATATAGTTTTTCATTTGCAAGCTTTTATGACTAAAACAACATCACTAATTGGTCTCTAGACAGAAGTGGCCGATCACAGAAGTCATTTGAGGCTGCATCAAACCATTACTTTCTTAATTCAGTTCAGGGCAGTGCACCGCTGCACTGGTCCAAAGACGAGCTGTCCAAGATCAAAGCCAACCTGGACCCCGCATGTAATCATTGTAAACAAACTCCAGCTACACTCCTGCATACATTCTGGACCTGTCCCAAACTGCAGACCTTTTGGCAATCTATTTTTGACACTCTATGCTTTGTCTTTTTTTTGTTGTATGTTTAAAAAATAAAACAGTAAAAAATACTTTGATTTAAAAAAACAAAGTTTATTTTATGGCATAAAACCAAGGGAGGAAGTATTAACTAAACTGTTCAAATCTCTACCGTACATTGGGCAACACACATATTGTATTATTCATATTTTTAGTTGAAAATAATGAGTTTGATCAATAACTAAATGTTTACTGCTCACATAGTGGTGGCAGAGATATTTTAGTATTTTTTATCTTGGATTTTCAGTTCTACATACTTTCTGTGCGCTTGTGAAGCTAACATTCATTCACACATTGAAAAAGCCTCTGAAGAATCAGGTCTAAAGTTGCCTTTTCACATCATGTCGCAAGAAACGGAGGATTGTTTGTATTAAACACGTTCTCACCATTGAAATCTTTTTGTTTGATGGATGTTTTCAGAATAAAATACAAGTCATAATGCAAAATAAATGAAGTTTATTTGTAATTTCACTGTAAACCATGAATCCTGCTGTTATTGAATTTCACTACCTTGGCCTTAGATGGCTGAATCTTGTTCCTCCAGTTTGACAGTTTCTTTGTGTGAATGACTCTTTCTTTCCACCTTTTTTATGTGTTTTTTGTGATTCCAAAGTGGTCACGTGACAAAAACACATCTATGCTTGCTGTGAAGTCTCTGCACAGCTCTGTTCACACGCAGGCTCAAATAGACCATAAAGCCTTCACACTCTGTGGCTGACAGAGTAAAGAGCACAACATCTGGAGCGAACACGTTAACAGCTACAATCACCACCGTTACATACAGCCTTACACATTTCTGACCAAAACATGAAGTGAATTAGAGCTGTTTCTGTTCAGATGTTTCAGGAGAAGTCTTTAAAAGTGAGTGGGAATTGTTAAAGGGATATTCCAGCCATTTAAATGTGGGTTTCAGTGTAAAATTCTGAATAATTAATATATTACGCGTTCCTTATTCTTGAACCGTGCCAGTTTGGATGAACAGTGTTTATTTCTAACATCTGGTTTGAATTCAAGCCCAAATGCTGTCTTGAAACACGTCTGATCAGCAATATGTTCATTGGTTCAAACAAATTCTGTTTCATATGTCTGCAATTCTGCAATACTAGTTTTTTTTTAAATAAAATACAATACAACTTTATTTATAAAGCACTTTAAAAACAACACTGTTGGCCAAAGTGATGTACAATAACACATACAAGCAAGCATAAAAAAATATAAAATCAACTGAAATCATAAAAGTAATAAACTGTTAAAATCATAAAACAGCAAACAGTAAAAACAATAAAACCAACATTTCAAGCAGAGTTATACATTTCACAAGTATCAAATTCCCATTAACTATTTCAATTTATTTTGTTATTTTGTATAACTTTTTTTTGTTCACATCAAATTTCATGGTCCAGGTAAAAAAAAAAAAAAAAAAAAAAAAAAAAAATCCAAGAATGTTAAGTTTCTTTTTGTTGAAGGGTTTATCAGTTCTTCAAAATTCAATTTTGGCTTTTATTTTAAGCATGCTTGCTCTATTTTTGTCTTCTTTAAGTCCGTTTAGCTACAGTTCTGTCACTTTTATACCATTTTCTTACTTTTAACTACTATTTCAGTCGTTTTAGCTACTGCTTATTTTTGCTTATGAGCTTTTTAGCCTCTGTTTTGCAGCTTTTGGTCTCTGTTGAGTTCTGCTTGTTTTGTCTTAACAATTACCTTTAACTTCTTTAGCAGCAAAGTCTCCCATTAAAAAAAAGTATTTATTACTTTTTTCCACTGAACCCCACTTCAAAATGGCCAGAATACTCCTTTAAATTTGTTCAACGCCATTTTTTTTTTTTATAAACTCCAGGTTCCCTTTAGAGGTTCCACTTTATGTTCATTTGATATAACTGATCTGATTTTATTTTCATTTTCCCACGGGAGCTTTGAGATTATGTTGGCAGCAAATCCAGATGAGTCAACAGTAATAATAAATAAATAAATAAATAAATAAATAAATAAATAAATAAATAAATAAAGCCGACGTGGTTCCCAGAACAGAAGTTCAGGACTACAGTCTTGTGCTCAGAAAGAAAAGTGGCGGAGGTGAGGTCCTTGGCTGGAGCCCACGCGCGCTGTTGTTCGGCTGTATCCGCCTCTGTCGTCACCATCCTGCGCGTGACTCCAGCTCAGCCTCACCTGTCTCACTCCGAGTGGACTTCAGTCAAACCAGGAGCTCGTAAAAACAGAGCAGCTGCTGTCGGCTTCTCGACCTCCAGCTGGGAGTCAGAGCAGGTCGAGTCTGAAAGTGAAACAGCTTAAAAAAAAAAAAAAAAGAAGTTCGCTTCAGTCGCTACTTTGTTCCTCTTTGATCCCGCCGGCTTCACCTTTCTGTTGGCTGCACGCGGACACAACCATCGTGTTTTAAATGGGAGCGCGCTGTCCAGGTAAATTTATTTACTCTTCTCTCTCTTTTTTCCCCGAACAAACAGAACAAACTGCTCAGGCTGAAGAAAAGCGTTTTGGACTAAACATGAATGACTTCCTGTTGTTGGATAAAAGTGGAAAATTGGGCTTCTTTACTGAACATAAGTAAAACTATAGTTCAGTAATTTCCCACACTTTGCCTAAAGTTGCAGGACACATAATCTGTGAAAATACAGCAACTTTCTCTAATGTTGGTTTCAGACTTTGTCCCATGTGTACATAAACTGCCCCCTTTGTGTTTACAGAGACCTGAGATATCTGGTCTTTATCCCTCCATCAGCACTGTGTGTAAACAGACAGAGAGGGTGGGGGGCAGCCTGAGGGGACTGTAGGGGTTTGCTGTCTGGGGACTTCAGACTTTATTTCTTTTTTTTCTCTTTAGTTCTTAGAAATGTCTTGTTTTGGCTGCCACGGGACAAATCTGTCTGAGCCCAGTGTCCTAGACCGTCATTAGTGGATCAGAGAATATTGCATCACAGTTCCCACTGATGGACTCAGTCCAAAGGAATCTCAGTGAATATGGTTCACACACAGTGCAGGCAGGGTGTGGATGAGTGTCTTAAGAGAGTTTCACACATTGTATCATAATTGACGGTTTCAGTTTTCATCTGATGTGCTTGTGATTTGTGAACCTGTGATTCTATTAATACGAGCTTAAAGAAAAAAAAAGCATGCATGCTGGGTAATTACACTAACAATGTCTGTGTTAAATGCCCCAGTAGACCATGTGACGGGGACCTCATTGATAATTCATGTCCTTAAATTAAACATTTGTGAACGGCTACCATCCATCATGTGCATGTGTTTACTATGGAAACAGCCGAAGCGACTGAAAATAGGTGATGTCAGTGGAAGAGCCGTTCGGTATCATAAAGTCAGACAATATTTCAATTTGGTTCATATTTACACTCGGATTTATTTCGTAAAGTGCACAGATAAAAACAAGTTAGGTTGAAATGACTAGACTAGAAATTCTGAAAAAGGTTTTGACTTTATGGCGTTCCTCCTTACAGTTATCTGACTCAATCTTTCTGTTTTCTTTTGTGCATATTTCCACCTGAACATTTTTTCCGTATTCTGCTCTTGTCTAAATACCATATTTGTTGACCTACACACACTACAACCATCCTAATGTACGCCAATCAAGTAATTTGTGCTTCCATGATGTTTTCGGAGGATTCAGCCGAGTGCATTGCTTACATGGATTGCGTATAAATATATCTGGAGTAAAGTCCTTCAAACTGCACATTTTATAACGTTTTATTATATGCCTGCTATTTTAAATGTGCTTTTTAAATAAAGTTGTCTTGACTTGACTTGTCGAAAGATGGATTTATTATTATGGTATAGTTGTCCTTCCGTTTGTAACTACGTCCGTAATACCGGTAGTTTGTCTATAGATGTGCCATACGTGGTACTCCTGTTTATGTTTGATTTCATAGTTTACAATAAGTCCCTTTTAATTTTAATGCTTAACCCGTCGCTACAGACGCTAACAGCTACAGACGCTAACAGCTACAGACGTTAACA